GCCACCTCCCCAACTGGAATCATCCCAGCAGAGGAGGAGAAGGAGGAGGATGAGAGAAGGAGGAGGAGGAGGATGTGCTGGTATCCAGAGAGGGAGACCGCAAGTTTTTGGCCAGTCCTTCAGCGATGTTTAGTGTGATCATTTTCGGCCTTCCTGGGAAGTATGGGAGCTCTCTGAAGCCATCTTCTTGAACGTATGTTTAGCGAAGAAGCAAACCAGGCGAAACATGTAGACACACTTTTCGAAGACTCCAATGGCAAATCACCGCCGTAATCACCGCCGTTCTCTGCCTTTCTGGACATGCCGATGTGGCCAAACATTGGGCCCGAGCTTGGCCAAGCTGTTGGAACATGCGCTCCCCTCGCCGAGGTGGCAGTCCTGGGGGGAACACTTGAACAGGGGGAGGAGAAGGATGAGGGCGAGGATGAGGATAAGGATGAGGATGATGATGATGCTGATGAGGGTGATGGTGATGATGCTGATGATGATGCTGCTGATGATGATGACGATGCTGATGCTGCTGCTGCTGATGATGATGATGATGGTGCTGCTGATGATGCTGCTGCAGATGATGATGCTGGTGATGATGATGATGACGATGTTGATGATGACGATGCTGCTGATGATGGTGATGCTGATAAGTGATGATGCTGCTGATGACGATGACGATGACGTTCACGATGACGATGACGATGACGATGACGATGACGATGCCGCCGTCTACGCCGACGACGATGATGGTGCTGCTGAGGATGATCGGACTGATGATGATGCTGGTGACGATGATGATGCTGCAGAGTATGATGATGCTGAGGCTTATGACGACGGTACTCATGCTGATGCTGCTGCTGATGCTGATGCTGATGCTGCTGATGCTGCTGCTGCTGCCTGCTGCTGCTGATGGTGATGATGAGGAGAAGGAGGTTGAGGAGGAGGATCGGGATACGCAGGAGGACAAGGATGCTGACGATGCTGATGCTGCTGATGATGATGGTGACGATTGCGATGATGATGATGATGATGATGATGCTGATGATGATGATGATGATGATGATGATTATGATGATGCTGATGCTGCTGCTGCTGATAATGATGATGATCATGCTGCTGATTGCGATGATGATGCTGATGAGGATGATGATAAGGATGATGATGCTCATACTGATGATGATGCTGATGATGCTGATGATTTTGATGACGACCACGATGCCGATGACGATAATGATCACGCTGTCGACGACGGCGATGCTGATGATGCTGTTACTGTTATTTATGATGGTGATGATGGTGATGCTGATGCTGATGATGATGGCGATGATGACGCGGACCAGGAGGATTTTGAGGATGATGCTGATGCTGCTGATGATGACGATGACGATGCTGCCGAAGTCGATGACGATGACGACGATGATGCTGATGCTGTTGATGTTGATGCTGGTGATTATGAGGATGACGATTATGATGATGATGTTTGTGATCATCACGATGATGATGGCGATGGCAATGACAATGACGATGACGATGCTAATGATGATGATAATTATGCTAATGTTTTTTTTTATGATGATGCTGCTGAGGATGATGATTCTACTGCTGATGCTGATGCTGATGATGATGCTGATGATGATGATGATGGTGATGTTGCTGATGATGATGTTGTTGATGATGATGATGCTGATGATGATGCTGCTGATGCTGCTGATGATGCTGATGATGCTGATGATGTGATGCTGATGTGGATGCCGATGAGGCTGACGATGATGATGCTGATGATGATGCTGATGATGATGATGATGTTGTTGTTGTTGATGATGATGATGGTGATGGTGATGATGATGATGCTGATGATGCTGCTGCTGATGATGCTGATGCTGATGTTGATGATGATGATGATGATGATGATGATGCTGATGATGTGATGCTCATGTGGATGCTGATCATGATGCTGACGCTGGTGCTGATTCTTATGCTGATGCTGATGCTGATGCTGATGCTGATGCTGGTGGTGGCTGCTGCTGCTGCTGCTGCTGAGGTTGAGGAGGAGCAGGAGGAGGAATGGGAGGAGGAGGAGGCGGAGGAGGAGGAGGAGGAGAAGGAGGGCTAGGATGCCTTTTGATGCCCTATTGGAGCCTCCTGGGGGCTTGGGGGCCTCTGAGGGGCCTTTTGGGTGCCTCTTGGGGGTCTTTCGGGGCCCCTCCTCTTGGCTTTTGGAGGCAGTCTTTTGGGCCTCTCTGGGCTGTCGTGGGTCCCTCTGTTGACGCTTTACTGATGTTTTGGAGGCCTGGGGCCGTCTCGCGGCCGTGTTGAGGCCCTCTTTTGGGCAGTCTTGGGGGCATCTTGGGCCAACTTGGGGCCCTCTTGGGGGCGTCTGGGGCTATTTTTAGGCTGTCTTGGAGTTCTAAACCCGAGAAGGCGAGAACACGAACACTTGGGAACCTCTTTGGGCGTTTTCGGGGCCTTGGGTCGCCTGGAGGATATCTTGCGCCGTCTTGTTGGCATCTTGGGCTCTCTTGGGGCCATCTTGGCCGTCTTGGAGACGTCTTGGGATCACCTTGGACGCCATATTGGGCCACCTCGGCCGTCTTGCATCTTAGGCGGGAGACGCGACGGGCCAACCTCGCCATCGTGCTGCATGCCCTGGTCAATCCGTGAGTTGGGGTTGTGGGTCCCTTAGTGTTTATGCAATTTGGTTGACTTTTGCGTATCCCTACCAGCCCATCCAACAACGAGGCCCAGGCGAGTTGCCTTGACCAAGGAACTGGAGCAACACGCAGTAAAACTAGCCTGGCGAAGGACCCACCCATAGGCAGTTGTGAATGCCGCAATTGTGCTGGGTGGTGGCGGGCGCATGCGGGCTGTGCCACTGAGTCCATCGGTGGAACCCCCTACGGGCCACGAAACGCTGTTCTGGGTGGGCGAAACGCAGAGAGCAAGGGCTGTGCTGGGTGGTGGCGGACGCATGCGGGCGGTGCCACTGGGACCTTCGGTCGGGCCCCCCCTGATGGGGCCACGAAGCGCTGTACTGGGTGGGTGAAACGCAGGGAGCAAGGGCTGTGCTGGGTGGTGGCGGACGCATGCGGGCGGTGCCACTGGGACCATCGGTGGAGCCACCTATGGGGCCACACAAATCGTTGTACTGGGTGGGTGAAACTCAGGGGGCAAAGGCCGTGCTGGGTGGTGGCGGACGCATGCGGGCGGTGCCACTGGGACCTTCCGTGGAGCTCCCTACGGGGCCACGAAGCGTGATACTGGGTGGGTGAAACGCAGGGAGCAAGGGCTGTGCTGGGTGGTGGCGGACGCACGCGGGCGGTGCCACTGGGACCTTTGGTCGGGCCCCCCCTGATGGGGCCACGAAGCGCTGTACTGGGTGGGCGAAACGCAGGGAACAAGGGCTGTGTTGGGTGGTGGCGGACGCATGCGGGCGGTGCCACTGGGACCTTCGGTGGGGCCCCCCACGGGGCCACGAAACGCTGTACTGAGTTGGCGAAACGCAAGGAGCAAAGGCTGTGCTGGGTGGTGGCGGACGCATGCGGGGTGTGCCACTGAGACCATCGGTGGAGCCCCCTATGTGGCCACGAAGCGCTGTACTGGGTGGGTAAAACGCAGGGAGCAAAGGCTGTGCTGTTTGGTGGCGGACACATGCGGGCGGTGCCACTGGGACCATCGGTGGGCCCCCCGGTGGGGCCACGAAACGCTGTACTGGGAGGGTGGGACGCAGGGAGCAATGGCCGTGCTGGGTGGTGGCGGGCGCATGCGGGCGGTGTCACTGGGACCTTCGGTGGAACCCCCTATGGGGCCACGAAACGCTGTATTGGGTGGGTGAGACGCAGGGAGCAAGGGCTGTGCTGGGTGGTGGCGGGCGGATGCGGGCGGTGCCGCTGGGAGTCCCCTTATGGAGCCACGAAGCGCTGTACTGGGTGGGTGAAACGCAAAAAGCAAGGGCCGTGTTAGGTGGTGGCGGACGCATGCGGGCGGTGCCACTGGGACCTTCTGTGGAGCTCCCTATGGGGCCACGAAGCGTGATTCTGGGTGGGAAACGCAGGGAACAAGGGCTGTGCTGGGTGGTGGCGGACGCATGGGGGGTGTGCCACTGGGGGATTCGGTGGATCTCCCTATGTGGCCACGACGCGCTGTGCTGGGTGGGTGAAACGCGGGGAACGAGGAGGGGGGAGGGGAGGATGGGGAGGAGGAAGAGAGGAAAAGAGGAACGCGGGGACCGTCTCTTCAAACCGAGGTCCCAATTCCACAGGATGGTTGGGAACAACAACGACGCCCAGGCAAGTTGCCCTGACCAAGGAAGTGGAGCAACACGCAGTAAAACAAGTATGGGCGGATCCATGCTTTCATATGTGTGATGACGGGTCGAGGGTTCACTGGTCCCCCCCAGATGGGTTCGACGACGCCGACGACGACGCTTCCGCCGCCAACGCTGGCGACGCCGACAGACGACGCCGACAGACGACGCCGACAAACGACGCCGACGCCGCCGCCGCCGACGATGACGACGATGAAAACGACGCCACCGCCGCTGCCAACGCCGACACCGACGCCGACGCCAACGCCGCCGACGCCGACAGATGTCGACGACGACGACGAACCACCCCACAGCCATGGGGTGGCAAGGGGGAGGGGAGGTGAGGGGAGGGGAGGGGAAAGGGAGGGGAGGGGAAAGGAGGGGAGGGGATGTGAGGGGGCGGGGACCAGCACTCGGGTTGGGATGACAGTCTTTGTCTCTCTTGGCCGCCGCTCGTCTTGCGGGGGGGTGGGGCGGCCTCCTGGTTCAGCTCGTCTGACTGGCGCTGGATGTAGGGGGCGAGCGGCATCGGCCGCTCGAAGCTCATAGGGAAGGTACGCGTCCCTTGCGGATGCCTCCCGCTTAGGAGGAGGTTCCGCTGTGTGCGATCACCGTCCTTCTGAAAACGCTGGCCTCAGTTCGACTCTAGGGCCCTCGGTTGGGACTCTGCGAATTTGCCGCACCTAGCACAAGCAGTGATGAACGA